AGCGAACTCAAGAACTGATCCCTCTCCTAACCCTAAACACAGGCAGTGCGATTTGAGCTCTTATTTTCTTGCTCCATTCCAGCTCGCAATTGATTGTTTGTTGGGTCCTCTGCGCTAGCATAATTAAGGGCTCCAAACAATGAGCGCACAGCTGCCCACCTACGAATACGTTATAGATTCCAGTGCACGCTTAGTGTCCGGGCGAAGTCGCCAAATCATGCGTAACCGGACAGTTCCGCTTCAGCCAAGCCGCCGTGCGCAAGCTGACGAACTCTGCAGAATCGTCTTCATCAGAAGAAGGATATTTTTCTGCTATGGATTCCTCGTCTGATTACGAGGAATTGTCGTTCTCAATGGCTGAATCACAAAACTTTACATGCGTCAACACGGATAGCAGCCGTACAGCCGACAATTCATCAATCTTTGCGCATGGGGCAATCCTCTAGCGAATCCCACACATTCATCTGAACAGCCTACTGAAAATTCTCAAGTCGTTACTGTCCGATCTGCCTTTAGACGTTCGAACGTTTCTAGGTGGGCCAAGCGGCTACGCACCGGTGAAAAAAATGTGCAGTGGTGAGTACGTTCATCTTAGGTTTTTAGGTTTGTTAAAAGTCAGTTAAGTAACCTTTCACTGCAAGTTCTATGTGGTGAGGTAGTTGTTATTTTGGCCATTTATAGAGTGCCAATTCATTGTGAATTGTGGCCTATGTAAGGTAGGATTATGCGTCCTTTTCTTAGGGAAGTTTTTGCTGTAGGGATCTATTGTGCTGTAGGCAAACCATCGGACGTGCAGGCTTTCGAAACGTCCTTAGCGGAAGAATTACAAAAATATTAGGTCAGCCATATGTGCATGTTGATAAGGTCGAAATAACACTGCAGTTCCAGTCAGCTGCTGTAATTTTTGATGCTCCAACGAGAAAATTCATTAAACAATTAAAAAATGTGTTCATCATAATGTTATGCAGACGTGTTCAGCCGGTGGAATATAAAGACCGACGGTCAGATCCCCAGAAACTGATGGCAGCCTTTAAGAACGAATTCAAGAAGGCTCATGACCGCCGCTTAAAGGGTGCGTAGAAGGCCTCGAGTAGCCGAACGGCGGACAGTAAGCATGTACTTCAGAAGACTTACATGCAGCATATTCTTAGCACACTCATTGTCTTACCTTACTCATTTCCCTTTATTTATTTTAGATTTGCAACGCATGGACGAAATGAATGTGTAGCGGGCCAGGGATGGCGAGGTTGGCATACGCGTAAAAAATAAGAGACCTATGGATGGTTCTGCAGCAGAAGCTCTGAAGTGGAACGATTAGCATCACCCAAGCACACAAATTTTAAGGCCAGAGTAAATGGAAACGAGAATATATGGTGACGAATCTACTAGTAATTAAGAAAAGGTACAGAATAAGAAAATAATATGGGGTAGGGAATGGCGTTACATGGATAAAAGTCCCACCTGGAGTGGAGTGTGTTCTCTAATGTC